TTCTTCTAGTTTTCTGTAGTTTTCGTTTTACTTATTTTCATATTATTTCATAATGGTTATTAATTAATACTAAATTTTGATGCATGGTTTAATTTCTTTGTTTTTTATAACTCCATTCTCCATCTTTTTTCTAAAGTAGAAATTACATTGGTAGTGTTAGTATTTGTACTAAGAGGATAGGGAAATGTTGAGTTAGGGACTTAACCTAAAAAATTAGGGTGCCCTCACCTGTTTCTTAATGAGAAACGTGACCACGACAATCACATGGGTGGAAGGCATTCCATTCCCCCATCTCTTATTTGATATAGGTGCGCACCATTTGAACAACTTGATAAACAATCATTAGCTTATGGGTTCAATTTCCAGTTAGTTCTAAAAAAATTGCTGTAAGGAGAAAACATATATTTTAACTAAAATGTTTTGTACTTTCTGTTTAATTTGGAGAAAATATGTGGATAAAAATGAAAATTTTATAATTTTTTTTATTTAATTATGTAAATTTTGTTGATTTTTAATTAAAATAATACATATTTATTTTTTTTAAAGATGTTAACTTTATATTTTTTTTTCTATTTAAAAATTAATTAGATAATAATGTTGATATGGTAAATGCAAAGTCAACATTCTTATATAAAAAAACTGTAAAGTTAATATTTTTAAATAAATAAAATGCATAGTTGACTTCTTTCAATAAAAATGGTTGAAAGTTGATTGCCTTAACTAAATTTGACAAAATGGGGATCTTAAAATAGAAAATTTTACAAAATTAATATCTTTATCTATTCCTTTTCTTGTTGATATTGACTGGACTTAATTTTTAATTTTAGATGTTTAAAATTTACTAATAAGATGTGGTTTTCTTATTTAAGAATGTCAATTTTGGAGCAATTAGCACTTTTCTTTAAATAGCAAAGTTGGGAATATTTGACATACACAATTCAGGATCTAATTTCTAATGTTGAGCACTTAAATTTAGTTATCCATTATTCCTTCTTAGAATGTCTTTTGATACGTTTATTTTTATATTACCTTTATTTTAAAAAATAATTATAATATATATTAAATAAAAGTCTTATTGATGTGGTAATTAATTACAGATAAATATAAAATTTTATCAATAAATTATTACATATTTATTTTATTCGACAAAAAAATTAAAACTACTAAAATTGAACAAAAGGAGTAGTTTTTATTTTTTATTTTTGGATATTATTTAATACACTTATTTTTATTTTTTTATTATTTTAAAATAATAATTACAATATATATTAAATAAAAATACTTATTTAAGTAATAATTAATTAGAGATAAATTTGAAATTTTATCAATTACCCCCTGTTTAATTTTAGTATATCTAATTTTTAATTTATGGTATTCAAATTTAGTTTTCTATATTTCTTTTTTAAAATATTATTTAATACATTAATTTCTATTTTATTGTCATTTTAAAAATATAATTATAACATATAGTATTATATAAGAGGGTTTATTATTTAAATAGTAATTAATTAAAAATAAAAATAAAATTTTATTAATTAATTATTACTACATTTTTAAATTATTTTAAAAAGCATAACAAAGTCTATTTAAACAGAGAGAATAATTATTACAATCATATTTTATTTAAAAAATTATATCTATTAAAGTTAAATATAGAAGTGTATTGTCCAAAATTAAGAGTTAGATAAAAACAAACCCTTTAAATATTGGGGGGTAAATATTTCCATTTAATGATCTAGATTTTGTAATCTATTCAAAGTGTAATATTTCTAACTGTACTTCTAAAAACAACAATAATTTGGGTGGGTTATTACCGCATCTTAAATAGTTAATACCATACTTTTTTAATATAATTGCTTATTATACGCTCATATCATTGATTTTTTCAAAAGTTTATGTTATCCTTGATTTTCATGATTTAAAAATCAAATGTGAATTGAAATATTTATTTTGCCAGTAAATTGGAATATTTACTTTACCAATGAATTGAATTGATTTGGAATATATTACGTGATTTATTTCTAGTAATATTGAATTGATTTCGAAATATTAAATTTTGAATTTGTTTCCTTTTGGGTGAAAATCCATTTAATTGTATAATTATATTTTCTAATTGTATAATTATATTTTCTTATTGTAGGTAGCCAAAAACAAAATGTGTATTCTGCAGGTGAGGTTCCAACCCCTAGGACAAGGTTTAAAACCCTTGATAAATTTGTTTTTTGCAAGATTGTGTAGGAAATCACTTATATTCCAACCCTGAAGGCAGGTTCCAAACCCTTGTGTTGAGTCATTGATTTACCTACCATATTTGGAATATATTCCAAAAAGAGCTCCAACAGTCATGAAACATTAATTGAGCATTCTCAAGTTATAAAACAAGATTTGGAAGAATGGAAAAGCACGGAAAAACAGAGCTTTCAAGTTGAAAAACCAAGAGTGATTGAGTTTTCATCTTATGCCTTGAGAAATCTATTATTTTATTGTTCTTTTTTATTGTAACAGGTGAGAGAGGGATTGGAGAAACTTTGTTAGATCTAAGAAACTATCCTTGAGGTATAGGAAAGGTTGAGAGATTTGTAACAAGATAATTGAACGATTCAATAGCACCCATAAGCTATTGAAAAAGTGATTGAATAACCTTGTTAGATTTAGAGAAAACCATTATTGTGGTATAGGACTGGGTTTGCCAGAGATTGTAATAACGGGTTGAGTTGTTGAAAGTGGATAGCGTCGACAAAATTATTGCAAACAGGTGCCTCTACACCCAAGAGTTGGAGGAAAGCTTTTGAATCCAAAGCAAACTCTCAAGCAGGCAGTTTGAAAAGTGGGTTAGGCACAAATTATGACTAAACCACTATAAATTCTCATGTTTGAACTTTTTCTTCCCTTAACTTTTAATTTCTACACTTTAAATTAATTATTTGCAATTGCTTATACTTGCTCACTGTTTTGGTTTTTGAAAATTGCAAAAATTTTTAAAAAAACCCAATTCACTCTCCTCTTGAGTTGCCATATGGGCCACCAGTTTACACTTCTTTTGTTTTTTAATAAATTAAAAAATATAACAATCAATTAAAATAAAAATATGTGGTATTAGTAATTGAGGATGTGGTAATAATATTACCCCTATCCTATTTAATTTTTTTGTCTTGCTGCAGCACAGATTTGTCCGCCCAGGGGTACGTTCTTGCTTGTTGCTTCTACGTCAAGTGAGTCTTCAAATTTGGAGATCTAGTAACGAAGGTCGGTTTGGTGGTCCCTTAGGAGATGCTGTGCGGGCTCCTTAGATTGTTGTCGCTTTATACTTAGATGAATTAATTTAGAAGAAGACGATACAACCAATCCATTTGCAGATTCCGTGTTTCTCCCTTTTCTTTTTTTTTTTCTTTTTTTTACTGTTAAAGTACTTTTGGACAGATCAACTTTCAACACTTATATTAATGGTAATATTATAATATTACGTAAAATTATAAATTTATTATAAATTTATAACTATAATATAAAATCAAATGAATATAATATAGTATTAAATGAATAAATATATATAATATCATAGATAAACTTTTAAATAAAAAGAATCAATTATATAACTACAGATTATATTGTAAGTTTACTATAGGACGTTTACTTATACTAATTCCTCTTTAAATGATCTTAAGAATTCATCCCTTATATCTGTTGACGACCACTTAAGATTTCTTCTAAAATAAATGAAAAATCAAAATTAAGTGTGAAAAATATAAAAAAGAGGGAGTCACCACTCGTCCAAATTATAAGGTAGAACAAGTCATCTAAAACGGGTCTGCACAAAGATCGGGATTCGGGGGTTCGGTTAGGAGTGAGGAAGGGCATATGCGCACCTCACAATCCTCCGTTTAAACATGGTTGCATACTTTAACATTGAGGGTTTTGATTCAACTTATTTATTATATTTATGTTTAAGTCTTAATAGGAAAGCTTGAAAAAGGGATAAACCAAATTGAAACATTTTAAAAATTTTTGGACTAAAATGGACAAAATCAAGAACATGCATGCACAATAAACACACATGAAAATTAAATGGACTTACTTGACTAAATTCAAAACATAAAGGACTAATTTGAAAAGAGTTGAAACCCATGGACTGAATTGCTTAATTACAAAAGCTTTGGGTAAAATTTGGAATAAACAAAGATAATTTTGACTTTGACACAGAACAGAAAATTAAGGATTTAAATTAATTAATTATGATGATTAACTTATTAAATGATTAATTTAACATTAATTAAAATTAATTAATTACATTATTAGTCTTTGATCAAGATAATTAAGTAATATAATTATCTTAAATTAAAATTAATAAACATAATTAATTTATTTTAATTAATTTTAATTAATTTTATTAATCATAAAATTAAGTAAATTATCTTGATTAATCAATATATTTTTGGACAATGATAGGCTTACCCTTTACCGTTACACATCTATCCACACCCTAACGGAATCCGTCAAGTACACTAACGGAATTCGTCAAGTACACTAACGAAATTCGTCAAGTACACACCAATCATTCTTTTTCTTTCCCTCACCTCTTTTTTTTTTTTTTTTTCTCTCTCTCGATGGAGAACCCGAGTTGGGTTCTCAAGAACCCAGGTCGAGTTTCCACCGGAGAACCCAGCTCAGGTTCTCACGATGGGAACCTGACCTAGGTTCTCTGGTGAGAACCCAGATTGGGTTCTCAAGGAGTTCTATGGGAACCCCGATTTTGGTTCTCGGAGAACTCAGATAGAGAGAGAAAAAAAAAAAAGAGAAAGAAGATAAAAGGAAGAAGATAATGAATTTCTGTAAATTTTTGTTAGAATTTTTACAAATTTGATGATTCTCTCTCCATTGTTTCAATTGATGATTGCTTTGTCTTTGCTCTTGCTCTTGCACAATCTTCTTCCTCAGATATCCTGTTGTCCAACGACCCATGAAAAATGGGAAGGCATCATGGCAACGGTGGACCATTTGAGAAAATAGAGGAATGATCATATGTCCGCAAATGGATTGAAACTACCGAGATAGGAAAAGAGAAAGAGAAAGAAAGGGCTGGATGCGTTTGGACGTTAACGACGAAGTAACGGAGATGGGTGTGTGTAACGGAAGAGGGTAAACGTAGTTTTATCCTATATTTTTACTTCTTTTTTTTAATTTTTCTTTGTTAGGTTGAATCGGGTCAACTCAACCCACAAAACACGACCCGTTAACCCAAAACGAACAAAACATATCAAATAACATACAGAAAAAGTCTGATTCCCCTCCTTTCTGCTTTTTTTTTTTTTTAAGAAGAACACATTCATTCTAAATAAAAATAAAATAACATAAAACATTCATCAACCAAAAAAAGAGAAACACAATCATCACACAAAACAAACTGAACATTTTTTTTTTTATCTTTCATTGATTTTCAATAAACATATACAAACGTAAGCATCATAAAAGCATGCCACGGAAACAAAAATACAAAAGAAGCAAACACGGGGTAGCTTTCTGGGTAACAGATCAGAGTCCGATCTGGCGGATCCCACCCACGAGATCAAGCCCAGATCATTCCCCTCACTGCCTCCCCAAAAAGACTCCTCTGTTGCAGGAAAATACCTAGCAAAAGGAGGCTAAAATATCGCCGGAATCTTGCCGGAATCAGCTCGGTTTTCTTCTCTCTCCTTTCCCCCAACAAAAAGAAAATCACCCCCTTTCTGCTCCTGAAAATCTCCTCCTACTGTTCTCCAAGAAACAAACGGACAGAGACTCCAAAATTAAAACCCAGAACTCAACCAAAAGACCCGAAATCAACCCAAATAAAACTCCAAAAGCAGAACCCCCCGGCCTCAATACCAGAAGAAATCCCCTTCCAGCTCCGAAAATCAACCAAAAAAAAACCCCCTTCTATTGCTCTCGAAGCTCAGCCGAAACTCCCCAACAAAACAGACCCAAAATCAACCAACAACCCCCCTTTCAATCTGATTTTTCTCTATATATATACCCAAATAAAAGATAAAAATAAAGATAAAAATAATAAAAAAAAGCCTTGCTCTGTCCATCAATAATAATGCTAATTTGTCTGGAGCTGCTGTAGCGTGCAGAGGCAGAGCAACAGGGGTGCAGCAAGGCTCGGTGCAGGGTCATGATGCTAGCACAGAGTGCAGGCGTGCAAGCAAAGTGGGTTCGGCGCAACAGGCGGTAAGGGGATCTGGTGCAGCAGAGGATCCGGCTTTTTGGCAGAAGCAAGAGTGCAGGATCAAGTGTAGGTGTAGCAGAGTGCAAGGCATGGGCGTGCAGGGGCGCAGGGCGCGGACGCGAGCGCAGGGCGCGGGGC